GAACCAGATGGACTGTAGGTTGGGTCACAGAAAAATATGTGGCCAGTTTGGGGTTTGGGACATCGGGAATTCATTGTGGGGCCCGGTGCCGACCGAAACCGGACACGCGGTTGCCCAACCACTTGGTATCTTGCGGGTGTTCCGGGTTCTCAGACTCTCCCATCCCCCGCAACCCACTTGTGTGCTTCTTGCTGCGGGTATGTTTTGTGGCTGGGGTGGGGGGGGGGATTGAACAGACCTCCAATGTCCATTCCAGGGCTCGGAACATATCATACCCACAAAGAACCCAACTTTTTGGAGGTTCCCCATTTCGAAGTTGTTCAAAAAGAGGATTCATGTCCTTTTTTGGGACTCGTTTGTGCCTTCAAAAGGACACATCAAGGCCTTTCTGTTTGACCGGCACTAAAGTGGGACATGGGTGTGTGTTCTCTTTCAAGGTATCCTATTTGGGGTCGGTTTAAAGACAAACCCAACGAGAAACCACCCAAAATCGGGGTCCCCAAGTCCCGTGAACCCGTTTGTCTTCAGGCGATGTTCATGGAATCCGATTGTGAGAATTTAGGCTAAGGATTGGCAAGGGGAACTCAGACTGCACAGGCTTGGTGTCCGGACAAATCCCCCAAAGTTGGTTGTTTCGCTTTGATTTGCCTTTTAACCAACCTCAGGATGGGTCTCTCCAAATTAGAGATACTGTCTCACATGAGCCACTTTCAGAAGATGCGGTTCCCAATAGTTGATTTGCACGGGTTGGTTTAGACTTGAATATGTGAATACTTTCCAGTGGTTCACACAAATCCCCACAAGTCTGTGGCTTATTGACGTGACATAATTTGCACATTCGTGTCTTAGGACGGCCAGGAAGCCGCGCCTGAGCCGCGGGCGCCGCAAGAGGCGCAAGCGGCCCGGGGTTTGGTCGGCAAGTTCACGGACTCTTGTGTTTTTTGGGTCGGGTACTCGCACCCAAAATAGGTTGCGTTCATTCAGGAAGCGTGGAACCAGATGCCTGTAGGTTGGGTCACAGAAAATCTGTGGCCAGTTTGGGGTTTGGGACATCGGGAATTCATTGTCGGGCCCCGGTGCCCACCGAAACCGGACACGCGGTTGCCCAACCACTTGGTATTTTGCGGGTCTTCCGGGTTCTGCACAGACTCTTCCATGCCCCGCAACCCACTTGTGTGCTTCTTGCTGCGGGTATGTTTTGTGGCTGGGGTGGGGGGGGGTTGAACAGACCTCCCATGTCCATTCAGGGCTCGGAACATATCATACCCACAAAGAACCCAACTTTTTGGAGGTTCCCCATTTCGAAGTTGTTCAAAAAGAGGATTCATGTCCTTTTTTGGGACTCGTTTGTGCCTTCAAAAGGACGCATCAAGGCCTTTCTGTTTGACCGGCACTAAAGTGGGACATGGGTGTGTGTTCTCTTTCAAGGTATCCTATTTGGGGTCGGTTTAAAGACAAATCCAACGAGAAACCACCCAAAATCGGGGTCCCCAAGTCCCGTGAACCCGTTTGTCTTCAGGCGATGTTCATGGAATCCGATTGTGAGAATTTAGGCTAAGGATTGGCAAGGGGAACTCAGACTGCGCAGGTTTGCTGTCCGGACAAATCCCCCAAAGTGGGTTGTTTCGCTTTGATTTGCCTTTTAACCAACCTCAGGATGGGTCTCTCCAAATTAGATACTGTCTCACATGAGCCACTTTCAGAAGATGCGGTTCCCAATAGTTGATTTGCACGGGTTGGTTTAGACTTGAATATGTGAATACTTTCCAGTGGTTCACACAAATCCCCACAAGTCTGTGGCTTATTGACGTGACAGAATTTGCACATTCGTGTCTTAGGATGGCCAGGAAGCCGCGCCTGAGCCGCGGGCGCCGCAAGAGGCGCAAGCGGCCCGGGGTTTGGTCGGCAAGTTCACGGACTCTTGTGTTTTTTGGGTCGGGTACTCGCACCCAAAATAGGTTGCGTTCATTCAGGAAGCGTGGAACCAGATGCCTGTAGGTTGGGTCACAGAAAATCTGTGGCCAGTTTGGGGTTTGGGACATCGGGAATTCATTGTCGGGCCCCGGTGCCGACCGCAACCGGACACGCGGTTGCCCAACCACTTGGTATCTTGCGGGTCTTCCGGGTTCTCAGACTCTCCCATCCCCCGCAACCCACTTGTGTGCTTCTTGCTGCGGGTATGTTTTGTGGCTGGGGTGGGGGGGGGGGGTTTGAACAGACCTCCCATGTCCATTCAGGGCTCGGAACATATCATACCCACAAAGAACCCAACTTTTTGGAGGTTCCCCATTTCGCAGTTGTTCAAAAAAAAGATTCATGTCCTTTTTTGGGACTCGTTTGTGCCTTTCAAAGGACACATCAAGGCCTTTCTGTTTGACCGGCACTAAAGTGGGACATGGGTGTGTGTTCTCTTTCAAGGTATCCTATTTGGGGTCGGTTTAAAGACAAACCCAACGAGAAACCACCCAAAATCGGGGTCCCCAAGTCCCGTGAACCCGTTTGTCTTCAGGCGATGTTCATGGAATCCGATTGTGAGAATTTAGGCTAAGGATTGGCAAGGGGAACTCAGACTGCACAGGCTTGGTGTCCGGACAAATCCCCCAAAGTTGGTTGTTTCGCTTTGATTTGCCTTTTAACCAACCTCAGGATGGGTCTCTCCAAATTAGAGATACTGTCTCACATGAGCCACTTTCAGAAGATGCGGTTCCCAATAGTTGATTTGCACGGGTTGGTTTAGACTTGAATATGTGAATACTTTCCAGTGGTTCACACAAATCCCCACAAGTCTGTGGCTTATTGACGTGACATAATTTGCACATTCGTGTCTTAGGACGGCCAGGAAGCCGCGCCTGAGCCGCGGGCGCCGCAAGAGGCGCAAGCGGCCCGGGGTTTGGTCGGCAAGTTCACGGACTCTTGTGTTTTTTGGGTCGGGTACTCGCACCCAAAATAGGTTGCGTTCATTCAGGAAGCGTGGAACCAGATGCCTGTAGGTTGGGTCACAGAAAATCTGTGGCCAGTTTGGGGTTTGGGACATCGGGAATTCATTGTCGGGCCCCGGTGCCCACCGAAACCGGACACGCGGTTGCCCAACCACTTGGTATTTTGCGGGTCTTCCGGGTTCTGCACAGACTCTTCCATCCCCCGCAACCCACTTGTGTGCTTCTTGCTGCGGGTATGTTTTGTGGCTGGGGTGGGGGGGGGGGGTTTGAACAGACCTCACATGTCCATTCCAGGGCTCGGAACATATCATACCCACAAAGAACCCAACTTTTTGGAGGTTCCCCATTTCGAAGTTGTTCAAAAAGAGGATTCGTGTCCTTTGTTGGGACTCGTTTGTGCCTTCAAAAGGACACATCAAGGCCTTTCTGTTTGACCGGCACTAAAGTGGGACATGGGTGTGTGTTATCTTTCAAGGCATCCCATTTGGGGTCGGTTTAAAGACACACCCAACGAGAAACCACCCAAAATCGGGGTCTCCAAGTCCCGTGAACCCGTTTGTCTTCAGGCGATGTTCATGGAATCCGATTGTGCGAATTTAGGCTAAGGATTGGCAAGGGGAACTCAGACTGCGCAGGTTTGGTCTCCTCCCCCAAAGTTGGTTGTTTCACTTTGACTTGCCTTTTAACCGACCTCAGGATGGGTCTCTCCAAATTAGAGATACTGTCTCACATGAGCCACGTTCGGAAAGGACATGGGAACAGTAGCGAGTGGTTGAACCTTGGCGTTGTTCCCGCCATGTCCCTCAAACATTGACCATATACTGATATGCTGACCGAACCTCATATGCAACTGGTTTTCCAATGGAGGTCACAAAAACAAAACAATGACAAGGGGTTTGAACATCAGGAAACCAGCCCCCCCTTTGACCCTTCGCTTCACCGACTCCAGGCCACTCCAGAAGCTCCGCATCCTGAGCAAAAATGGCCCAACGAGGCGGGCGGAAAGCCTGGTAGGGGGGGCTCAAATAGATTGGATTTGTCCGTTTTGGAGGGCGTGGAAGGGAGCAAAACTACCCGCCGGACTGGTCCCTTACTTTGAAAGACAAGGGTGTGTGATGGTTGCATGGGATTCGCTTCCGCCAACCATGTGCTGTTTTGCAGTTTTTGTTGTTGGGAAGGGCAAGGTGTTCCTGAAAGAGTCATGTGTGTGTAGCTCAAAATTAAGCAGCTAGGGTTACGCAGATTTTAGTCGTTGGTTCCATCTACCAAGGTTCAATTTTGGTATATTTATTTGAGCCACCGACATGTCTGATTAGTGCGTTCTGTAAGTTAAGTCATGGACACCACCCAGGACAGCGTTTTCTGGCCGGCCAGGTGGTGCCTGGAGCTCGGGCCATGGGCCAAGTGGTGACTCTGGGCTTGCGTTGTGTTTTTGTTTTGTTTTGGGGGGGGCACTTGTTGGGTTCCGAAAGGAGAACCCATGAACTGCTTTTTGGGGTTCTTGGCCCTTTTAAAACCAGGAAGGCAAAACGAAAGGAGCTCAAGGGCATTCCCCCCCCCCGCAAGGGGGAAGGCCTGAAGGCCCGCATTTTTGCGGAAGGGCCCACGTGTTTCGGCAGCCTTGAATCATTGAGGTGCTTTTTGAGCCCCAAGCCAACTTTCACCAGGCTATATGTTCAAAGAGGGAGGTAGCAAACGGTGATTTCCCTTAAACCACCCATTCAAAGGGCAATCTCGGGTTGGTTGCAATCTGTGCGTGAACAGCCAGACCCGGTTTGCTCCCATTTGCGAAACCACGGCCCACCGCGGTCTCTCATTTTGAGACACCCACAAGCAGGGTTCCGTTTCTTGATTGTCGTCCCGAAATTCAACCACCCATGCGTTTGAGTCTACCTCGGGGTTGCCAACATGGAGCTCTTGTTTGGAGGGAAACATCCCTTCACATCTTTGGAACAACCCTTACACAAAAGGGCTTCAGCCCCAAAAGTAGTAAATAGGGCTCCCCCCGTTCGTAGAGAAATAAAGATTTGCGGTCCCTTCATCATTGTGAGCGATACTCAA